CAATTCTCAAAATGAGTTGCACCAATTTGATATTTTGGTATTACATTGTTTACGAGCTTTGTCCAAGTACAACTGCATATAAGCATATTTTCCTTTGTAAGTTACTGAAGAACCAAAATCTATACTATATATATAGTACAGATAAATGGAGTTACACTTCTAAGTTTGTTCAGAGAACAGAACAAGCAATGTACAAATACATAAACCCTAATAAGTATTGACTTGTTTGCGGCTTTACATGTTTCTAGCAGCAGATGTAAGATGAAAACACTACCTATTAGACTCCAGCTCTCATTGCCAAGCAAAGATTTATTCAATATTGAGGTCAAACCTTATTTTTATAGCACAAGTATTATACATCCAGAGCTGCACTCCTCATTTATCTAACCCTGTTACTCCTCAGTGTCTGTCAGAGCACATCAGGTCTATTTTTATGACGTGGCCAGAGGCATTAGTGCCTTAAGATATAAACATGATGGTAAACTATGAAGCACTTAAATCTGTGAAATGCAGAGCACGTTACTCTGACTCGTCTTAAGATGAGTCATCCGTGGTTACTTTGTCATCATGTGCACTTAATCTGTGTGAAAACTGTCACTTTCACTTCCTGTGCAAGTTGTTTTTTTGGTAAGCCCTACAATAAAGTCCTGTGGGAGAATAAAGCGTGTTGGAAGTTTGCAAGTTGTTTGACAGATGTGCAGCAAAAACAAAGTAAAGGTTTGTATCTCAAAACTCAACAGTAGGACTGAGGAATATAATGCATCAGCTGCTGGGGCCTTGTGTGGTGTGGTCTGCATGACACACAGGTAGAGACACACATTTTGTATCGCCACCATTAAAGGGAGCAGCTTTTTTTTTTATTTTACAGTTCTCGTTAGGGGGGGTAAATGTCTCTTTATACTTTTTATTGTTTAGCAGTAAGGTAATGACAGGCAACAGATGACGGGGTGTCGTGAGGATTATGTAACAGATTAATAGTGTCCTCTGCAGCAGGAAATCAATGTTTCCAAAGACTCTCGTTTGAGTCAGCAGAAAGATTTCCCAGTACAGAGGTTCCTCTCGCACTGGGCAGGATTGCTATTGCAACAACACATCATCAGTAAAACTAACCTGTCTCACAACGGTCTAAACCCAACTCACATTCCCCATTAGTGGGTGAACAATCCAACACTTGATGAATTCTGCTTCACAATGATAGGAAGAGCCGACATCGAAGGGTCAAAAAGCGACGTCGCTATGAACGCTTAGCCGCCACAAGCCAGTTATCCCTGTGGTAACTTTTCTGACACCTCCTGCTTAAAACCCAAAAAAGTCAGAAGGATCAAAGTCTGAAGAAACATTACCTTAACTTGGAAAATGGCTTCTACTGAGGTTAACGTAACGGGTCAGCATCGTAGCAGGTTGCAGAGCTGTCCACATGTCACAGCTTATGATTGACACTATAAGCAAGATTGTATGCAGTGTGCATGAAAAGTATGTTTTATCTTTTTATTGCTGTTCAACATTGAATCATTGACAATTTAATTTGGCTTTTTGGACAAGAAATTCTCCCCAAAAAAGACTCTTTTTCATGTCGAAGTGAAAACAGATTTCTACAAAGTCAACTAATTTAAAACCTAAACTGTAAAATAAATGAATAAGTATTAACCCCCTTTTACTCAGTATTTGGTAGATGCATTTTGGCTGTGATTACTACACTGTATTCATATAACCATTTTTTATATATACACACACACATAAGTACAGATGTTAGTCTAGTATTTTTAAAAATGTCCAAAAATATTTCATGAATGCTTGGATCAAATTAGATGAAACACTAGTAAATTATCAGGCCTGTCTAATCCATCATGGCTGGTAGTTTTCACCTGTCAGCATGTAGTTTTGTTTGGCATTTCTGTCATGACATAATGGCACATTGAGCTCATTATGCCGTTTTCTCAACTGATACTTCTATAGTTTGATTGTGATTGTTAAAAAGCCTTTAATAGCTTTTTTTACTTAATGTTTTTTTTGGGTTTTTTTTTAATTCCTCCACACCAGTAACAGCTGTGGCTGGACACATTTTTGTTTTTGCGCCATCCGACCATCTGCACATCCTCTTCTCATGAACACAGTATCTCAGGAATGCCTCCGGGGAGTGTCAGTTAGCTTTGAGTCAAGGTTGAACTTATTTGAAGTTGGTGATCTATCTGACCACGGTGGCGGCAACTCAAGAAGTCATACGCTAATTATTACAAAATTCCTCCTTCCATCTAGTAGCATAAAATAATGAAGTGGTGACATTTCTAAAAAGTTAAAAATCAGCTTCACCGTGACATCCTCATGTTGTGCAAAAACACTTTTTATGGCCAATATTTAACATCGTAACTTGGCAACAGAAAGGGAGTTGTGCATTTGGTCTGATATTGGTGTGATTGTACGGCTCTTCTGTGCTGCTGGGGAGAAATGTGCATGAAGCATTGAAGTTTGACAAGTTTGTCCAGCAACATGTAGTTTAAAGTGACGGCATGTTTATTCTCACAGGGACTTCTTCAGTTGAATGATACGTGTCAGCATAGTTGCAACTTCATTTTCACTCCAAAAAAACATGTTAAATCTTTTATTAAATTCATTTAAAGTCTTCACTACATACAGTACAGTAGATGAGTCTGGACGGACATGGATAGAAAAAATGTACCTTGTTAAATGTAGCTTATGTAACAGGATCGTGTTCTCAAACACATTTATCATGACTAGCTTGCAAAATTGGTCCTGGTAGCATTGTTGTTCGAAAATCAGTAAACTCCTAAACTCCAACCTCCCATGTCTTCTTGGTAACAACAAGCAGTCCGCTGAAGTAGCTACGTAGCATTTATAGTTCTCACTTTTAGTCACGTTTATCATCTGAAAATGCAACACAGGCACAGTGTTCAGCAACAAAACAAAAGATATAAAAGCTGCATATCCTCTTGTGTCCGAGGCATTGAATTGTGCAAGAAAGATAAAATAACAGAGGAAGTTACAAGGAGCAGATATTAGGCTCGGACTGTATAGGCACATTAGTCAGGCAGTAGATGTGGCCTAAAAAGGCTCAAACCTTCAAACACTGCAGCATACTGTTAGATGGGTTAGTATTCTGCATTCAAAGGGAAGTCTTTGTGTTTTGAGGCCCTGTAGAGAACAAAAACAAGTCACACTGATTACTTGAGGTTCAGATGGTACACCTGGTAATGTGATTCTTTCGTATCTCTTTCGGTTTTTCTCGTTTTTCCTTCATGTTCCTTCATCTTTACTCACCATTTCATTGGGAATCCCCTCCAATTCTTGTTGAAGCTCAGGAGGGTCTTCATGTCATCTTCGCTCAACTCAAAGTCAAACAGCTGAAAGAGAAAGAACAGCTAACAACGTGTGATGCACTCCAGGAGCTGCCTGCAGTGTTTCACACAGAAAACCGGTGTTGCAATGGAAGGATAAAGAAATCTGACTTTTTGTCACATGCTACAACCTAAATTCATCAAAGAACATAGATGGAAGCAACTGGCTGAATTAATGCGTTTTAAAAGTGGAAGCCAGGATTTTAAAATGATATAATATGAATACAGTAAATGAAGACATCATCAAAAACCTGATGTTACTATACCTGGAAGTTTTCCTTGATGCGATGTGGTGTCGCTGACTTAGCGATCACAATCACATTCCTCTGGGTGTGGAACCTGATGAGAACCTGGTGTGGAGGGAGCAGTTTATTAGAAACTCACATTATTTCCTTCCTGAGCATCATTGCATGACCACATTTTGGTGGTTCACCACACAAACAATACTGTACTGTTCCATTTCCAGTGATTAAAGTGTTTAACAAGCCTTGTGATGCGACGTGACGACACTGACGCTCCTCTTGCTCGGTTATTTAACTTTTGACATGTAGCATTGCATAATTTTAGGCTTGTGGGGTTACTTGTGGTGTCGGCATGCACCCAGTAACCAAAATGCATCCCTTTGATACAATAGCTCTTTGTTCACTTGTTCACACTGCTGCTCTCTGGAATGTAACCTTTGACTGTAATGTGAGGTATCTTGTGTAAAAGCTTCACACTGCAAACATTTTATGCTTATTTAACATATTGCACGTATTGTTTGTAAGGAAAGGTAGAGATTCATGATGCGACTTGACTTCTCTTCTCTAAAGACGTTTCACCTCCAGGTGATGGGAAGACAGATATATTGACAACCGTCACTCACATGGCTATTGGCCTCGTGACTTGAGATTTCAAGACTGCGTTATCAGTGCCGGATAATTAGTGTTGTAGACTCATGGTCTGCAACACCATGAGCCAATCCTTGTCCCGAAGTTACGGATCCAACTTGCCGACTTCCCTTACCTGCCTTGTTCTAACGTGCCAGAGGCTGTTCACCTTGGAGACCTGCTTATAATCCAGTCATGAGATCTCTCCTTAGAAAGTTACGCCAACATAACATCTTAAGTCATCTCTGAAGTGGCAGTTTCACTCCTCAAGGTGTGTGAGGTGGTTTATTAATTGGCCTTTAGCCATATGAGTTGGTGGTGACAACTTATACGCTTGTACAGACCATATATATCATGGCAGTCCTCAGTTTTCAGTGAACTGAAACTGAATTTTCTGTGATAGAATCTTGTCACAAAAACTCAGAATTTTGATTCTTTCACAGATTTATTCTGAGTTTTCTGGAAAAATGACTAAAAGGCAACTTTTCTTCATGATTGCATCTCTGGGAGTCCCTTATCAATCAGTCAGAACTGAGGAAGCCTCTTGGATTAGAGGTGGAACATCTTCAGGAAGCAAAAAAGGAGAAGTCCAGTTACCTTCTACTGAAGCTCATTGGATTACCAGACAAGATTCCTACATGTGTCTTTTCTTTCTTACCTGTGCTGGAGTCTTATTGTACTTCGCCGCAATGGCCTTGATCTTGGGGTCCTCCAGCAGAGAGGGTTCATCAGACGAAGCCCTTTCGTAAATAATAACAGCAAAGACTGAATGGCAGTTAATATTCTTGCAATGTAGGCATGCTGACGGGTTTTTCTGCGAGTATGATTGAAGTTGTTCGTCCTCACCAGGGTCTGCCGGGGGAGCCCAGCGGACTGTAAGCCGTCACCGCGATCCCCTTTGAGTGGGAGTAGTTGATCAGCTTCTCTTGGGTCAGATACGGGTGACACTCGATCTAAAGAAACAACCATATTTTTTTTAGATTTGATGTTCTTCTAGTGCTATTTTATTAAGCTTCATAATAAAAGTCTTGTTTTCCACCTGGTTGACGACAGGCTTGTGCTTGAGGCCGGGCTTGTTGAGTATGGCTTCAGTCTGGTCTTTGTTGAAGTTGGAGATGCCGATAGCTTTGACCAACCCGGCGTCCACCAGCTCTTCCATAGCCTGTTAGACAAACCGCACACTGGTGTTAGAGAAGCAGTTGTTTCGCAATCCAGATTTGGTACTTATTCACATGTCAGTATTTAGTTTAACTGAGCTGCTGGTGTGCAGGTTAATTATCAGTGTGTCTGTTAAGGCAGTGTGTCATTTAAACTACCTCCCAAGTGTCCAAGAAGTTGCTGTCATCAGTTATGATCTGCTCGTGCTCATCACGGGGGAAAATCTCATCACCTGGCTGCAGGAACAAACGTTAAAGGTGTTCAACTCAGCATATAAAGTAGGACGGCATATATTTTTAAATCTGATGATAAGGACAGGATGGAGGTGTCCACACCTTGGCCCCAATTGGGAAATGCATGAGGTAAAGGTCCAAGTAGTCAAGTTTCAGATCACTGAGAGTCTTCTCGCATGATGTCCTCACCAGAGATCGAAGGTGGAAGGTGCACCATAACTAGAAAGAACAAACAGGACTTTGACCAGTGTGATTTGGGGGATTGATACCAGCTGATAGTCACAGACCACAGACCACACTGTGTCTCATTGTACAGATGAGGGAGCATGTTATAAGGGAAACAATGCGTTGTGGATGTGGAGATAAACGTGGATGTAAACTGGGAGAAGAGCACGACTGACATGTTCCATCCTCCTTCATAGACCTAGACTCCATTGGGGTTGTGTAGCCCCTTCCCCCAGCAGCTGACAAATGATTAAACAAAACTGCACAAGGAAAGGTCCTTGGAGTCAAATCCAGAAAGAGAAGGAATTTTGTACATGTCAACCATTGCACACTTAAAGACAACAAGCCTATCTGAGTTTTTGACATCAGCTCTGTAGCGTACCTTACTGACAATGAATAGATCCTCCCTCTTCACTACTCCTTGTTCAATCATAGCATGAACTCCAGCACCAACTTCTTCTTCATTCTCGTACGCATAAGCACCATCAATGTGCCTGTAGCCACAACCTATGGCCACCTTCACAGCCTCGCTGACCTCGCCTGGACTTGCCTGCAGCGGTACACAGAAACAAGAAAATTGCATGAAAACATCAATATACTGAGTAATCAAATGAATGTAAAAGACATATTGTTAGTATCAGTATGACTGATTTAACAACTTATGTACTGATGTCTTCAGGCAGAAGCTGATGTGCAGGAAATCATTAACATTTACCCCGTTAGAGCAGATCATGTTGGGAAAATTATCCATTTTACTGAACAGCAGTAAACAACACATTTCATTGTACTTGTGGATGTGAATTTAGGCCGCAAAGAGGAGAACAGAAAAGTAAAAGTAAAAGTAAAAAACAAAAAGTCACACTTACCTTCCATGTTCCCAGACCCACGATAGGCATCTTTGCTCCATTGTTGAGTGTAACTGCAGGTATCATCTTGCAGACCTTACGCTAAAGTTCTCAGTCAGTAAACGCCTCTTCGTGCAGGCAGACTCCTGCTACTTACAATCCCATTTATTGAGGCAGGATGCAGTCTGTTGTGTAACAGAGAGGAGGAGTCAATGGGCAGAAAGAAAGTGCATCTGGGTTCGATTAGTAATGTCTGAGGTGCTTCCACACTGGAATAGTAAAGAAAGAAGCACAGAGGACGCTGCTGTGTGCAAGATTTGTACAATATTAAGGGAAAACTATAACTGATACGCTCATTCATTCTGACCAATATCCTCAGTTGATTGCATTTTGTATTACTTTGATTGTTTTTTTGGTCATAAATTAACTCCAATGTCCTGGTTTTAAATACACACTTGTGCATATGTGTTATGTACTACGCAGCTCCATCAGCTGATACGATCGATTAGATTCACAACAGGTCGATTATATACAGTCATGAGCGTTATTAGCACTGCTTTTGTTCCTCCAGCTAAGAAAGGACAAATGGTTCTGGGGATAATGTGGGTAAACGTCAGGGAGGATGACTCAGCAGAGGGACTGATGAAGAGATTCAGGTGCTTCTCCGTCCAGGCATGTAGGAAACATGAAAAACACTGCTGTTTTAGAAAGTGGTTAGAAAGAGGTTAGAATCACAACTATACATTCTGGGGTTAGATGGAGCAGTAAAGTACAATACAAAGTAAAGAACTCATGTAATTATAAATGAAACTGTTTATCAGCGAGGACTGGGCAAAAAAAAGAAAGAAAAATGTGCATATTGGTCAATAAAATAGTTACTGATTTTACTAAACTCAGCCATTTGATACTATTTATGAAGGTACACAGGTTAGGACAGGACAACATGCATGGCAGCATATCCT